TATACTTCATCTGGAGGGATGGGACTTATTATATGGGTGGCATGCATACTTAATTTATAATAAAAAAGTTGACAAGGCTTTTAAATCTCATATTTTAAGAAGTGCTTTATTGCGTGTCTGGAAAAAGTATTATTATAAGTTTAATTATAAAATACCAATCTGGGGGATTCCTGGACACGTGATAGAGGGGGTATCTATGGGTGTGAATTTGGATAGGATTTCTTATAAGGAATTACTTAGAATGGTAGGGAATGATTGGCAATTAAAATCGTTAGCTGAGTTAAAGCAAGAAAATATTGTACAGTGTTGGTTTCAGTATACTCAATTGTTGGTTAGGTGGAAGTTAGATCAAAAGGTTGGCATTACATTAATGGATGAGAATTTGGTAAAACAGATTAAAGATCAAAATCGAGCGCATATAAAGAGAATTTATAATGCTTTAATAGAGATGGATTCGGAAATGGAATTAGTTAAAGATTGTATGGTAAAGTGGGCCCAAAATATTCAAGAACCGATTCCACTGGATGTATGGGAGGTAATTTGGGTTAGAAATGTAAAATTTACCCAAGCCCAAAATTTAAGAGAAAATTTTTACAAAATGTTTTATAGATGGCATCTGGATCCTAAAAAGTTGTCTTGTATGTATCCTAATTTACAGCCCAAATGTTGGAGATGTGGTAGCTTGGATGCTACTTATTTTCATATCTGGTGGACTTGTAGAAATATAAAAGCTTTTTGGATTAAGATTTGGTGGAACATTCAAAAGATCTTCAAGAGAAAGATAAAGTTCACTCCACAATTATTTTTGTTGGGTGTTATTACAGATTGTGATGCTAAAGAAACTAACTTGATGTTGAATTTGATAACAGCTGCAAGGTTATTAGTAGGGCAATATTTATTTATTTTATTTATTTATTAATTACATTTATATCCCGCCCTTCTCCTTGCGGACTCAGGGCGGCTGACAATTGGGTAAAATACTAACATATTATACACCTAATTAAAATTTGATTAAAAAGAAATATTTAAATATGTCAGATTAAAAGTAATTAAAACCCCTTTAAAATCCCTTAGGCCAGTCCCGCTAGCTGGAACAACCACGTCTTGAGGGCG